AAAAAAGAATTAGCAGCTTGTACCTCAGATGGTGTGAAAAGTTCACAACTTTGATTAGTTACATCAAGCAATGATGCTTCCTGAAAATTTTAAGACAACTTTAAACTTTATAATCGACTCATGATGGAGAAGTAGATGTGGAAACCCCCAGGACAGGAGTGTATAAACTTAAGAAATTTGAAGTGAGATGGAAGAAGGAAGCACCTGCTTGCACAGAAACCATAGAGAAGAAATGTCTTGTTTTGTAAACTTTAAATCATATCTTTTAGCAACGGAAGCTGTAATCTTATTCAGAACAGGTTCCTTGAGCTTATCCAGAGCAGGCTCTTTAGCTTTTCTATAGCTCTGCATTCATAGACAATGTAAAGAAAAGTAAAACTCAGAAGCAAATAACATGAATGATTACTATATTGAGGTTCATCCTTACAATCAAAATAACTTAAATTGAATCCATACCTTGTAGTTTTGACAACATTCAAAAAATCTCAGCTTTGTATCACTTGCACGGTTTTCACTTGTGACAGCGAATGCTCTATTACGGCCTGGTCCCAGATCTCCTTTCTCACTGAATAACCCCATTCCAAATGCCACAGCACTTGCAGATGCCCGAGGAATCTACCAAGAGATTTCAAACAATTCATCAATGTCCTCGACCACTACTTGCAACCAAATACTAGTGTTCACATTAACAAATATTACTTTGCAAAACACACCAACATACAAATCCAAAAGCAACCACCAACCTGCGTAGCTCTTATGGTATATACATCAGGGTGATAATCCTCTTCAAACAAAGTAGGAAACCGTTCCCTAACCCGAATTCCCAGATGGTACAACTCGTCCTCGCCTTGCCTGATCAGCTCCCCACCTTTCACTTTTCCTTGCCAAGGAGATATCCATTGTCCTAACCATCCAGGAATTTTGTCTGAAGGCACTTTCCTAGCTTCAGCATCTCTTACCAATTCCTTTAACCTACCAGCCAAATTCTCCAATTCCCGCAACCGTTTCTTTGTCGGAGAACGAGTTCCATGCCTAGCCTAACATGATAAAAAAAAAACCCACCATTTCAGTCTTCATTCTTCCACATTTGGATTGTTACACTAAATTTCCCCAAATAGAAATAAAACTTACCACAAGGTTAAGGTGAATAGGTGTACACTCACTAGGAACATTCGACGGTTCAATCAAATTTTGAGCAACATCTTTCGAAACAGAGTATCTGCACACCAAAAATCAAATTCCCGCAAAACAAAAATTAGAACTCACAATACCCACCCTTTTTCTAACAAAAGGGTGTCGATTTTCCCAAACAACCGACATTAATCCAACCAATTAGGTCAAAAAAAAAATTAGACCCAGATGAAAAAGTGTTGTTCTTGATTCAATAATAAGAGCGAGAGAGAAAGTAACCTTGTTACAGTGGAAAGGTGATGACGAACATCGAAACCCTGATCCGCCTGTGAAACTACAAATAAAAAACACACAAGTGTGATCCAAACAATCTTCATCATCGCCATCTCTCACACGCTTTCTAATTCTATGGAGGAAGAAGCATTCTGGGTCAAAGTCCCATTAACACGCCACTGTTTAAGTGCTTCGGGGTGGTCACACACACGGATTGATGACGCATAAAGGTTACTCCTTTTCACGCCACGTGTTGATTCACACGGTTAAATTGGTTAAAGTCTTTTGATCCCCAATTTGTTTGGTTCAGTTCGGTTTTAAATCTGGCTTAAGTTCGGTATTGGTCAAACTCAAAACCAAAACCTTGATAGCTGTCTTATTAGCCTTTGCCGCCAATATACTCCTTTTGATAATATAAAGAAATAAAACCAAACTTTTTTATTCATTGAAATTGGGATTAGACCTGTTCAAGCGATGTTGAGTCAAAAGCATGACCATTTCGTGACTCTTTTCATATTGAAATGTGTGTTTGCACGTTGAAACAATCATTATAACGAAATTCCAGCCTCCAAGGATTTATAAGATTAAACTGTATTTGCAAAATCCAAGAAGAAGACGAGGCTCATCATGGAAGAGTTTCAAGGTCCAGAGCCAGGTGGCCAGATCATGAGCGAGAATCGATCTCTCGAACTCAATCAACGCAAATGGTGGATCTCTGTTTTCGTTTGTGGTTTCTTGATCTTCTCCGGAGATTGTCTCGTTATGCTTCTCTTGAACTTCTTCTACGTCCAAGACAATCGATCAGAGAGTAATCAAGACAGACAGTACAGAGGAACATGGACGCAGGCCCTGATACAAAACGCTGCGTTTCCGATTCTGATTCCTCTCTTCTTCATGTTTCCTTCACCAAAACCAAACCCGGAAACAGTCTCTGATCAAAGCAACAATCGTCCTCCTTTTCTTCGTGTTGTCTTGCTATACCTTTCTCTTGGTGTCCTTGTTTCTGTTTATAGCAAGTTATACGCGTTGGCGAAATTATACGTCGGATGGGGGATTCTGGTATCAACTCAATTGTTACTAACTTCCCTCTTTTCAGCTTTCATTAACCGTCTCAAGTTTAACCGATGGATCATCATATCGATAATCTTTACTCTTGCGGCAGACTTTTTCGGTGGCCCTGCATTTGCTGGAACTCCTGATGAAGATGAATCTGGTCCTTATGACTTCAAGGCATGGTTGATCCTCATATTCCCTACTCTTGCTTTCTCCTTGTCTCTTTGCCTAATGCAACTCGGGTTCGAAAAAGTGTTGGTGAAGACAAAGAGGTATGGTAACAAGAAGGTGTTTCGGATGGTTTTGGAAATGCAAATCTTTGTTTCCTTCATCGCCACACTCATTTGCTTCGTGGGTTTGCTTGCGAGTGGTGAGTTTAAGGAGTTAAAAGGCGATAGCGAGAGGTTTAAGAAAGGGAAAACTTACTACATTCTGAGTTTGCTTGGGTTGGCTCTCTCGTGGCAGGTTTGGGCGGTCGGGTTATTAGGTCTTGTGCTTTTGGTGTCCGGTGTATTCGCTGATGTTGTCCATATGTGTGCTTCGCCGGTTGTGGCATTGCTCGTTGTGTTGGCTTTTGATTTCATGGATGATGAGTTTGGTTGGCAGAGACGAGGTGCTTTGCTAGGAGCAGTCTTGGCTCTAGCATCTTACTTCTATCACCTGCACAAAACAAAGAAGGAGGAAATCGAAGAACTGAACAAAAGAGAGAACAACAACGGCTAAGTTTAGCTTTAGTCTCTGCTTTTGTCTACAATATGTATAGATGATACTCTTATTGCTTTATGTGTCTTGCATATACAAATGCTGTGTTTGTCCTGCAAGTGACCTTTATTGTTTCAAAAGTTGTATACATCAAAATGAGAATAAAAAAAATACATCCGTGATGATATGTATCACAACAACAGCTATACGTAATCCCCTCGCAGATATCCAGATAATCGAATTTACGAGGCTTCCATGGGGATGAGTTTGGAATTTCTGTAACATATTGCCTAAAACTTCTCTTACATAACCCATTCCTCAAACCTGCCAAGTTTATTTGAAGAATCCTTCTTCCAGAAAGGCTTAATCGCTGTGAAATTCCCGGTTTTCTGTAAGCAAAGAATAGATTCATCAGTCAACAAAGCATAGAAGCAGATGACTGTGATCTGTATATACAATCCACAGGTATAATACCTTAAGGCAGAGACTTCTGGTTGTATCACAAACTGGGTAATCATGAGGACAACAATGACGACCGTCCTTGCAACACACAGCAGAATCTATCTCGCAGCATTTCCATGAGAAGCATAAGCCAAACAAGTTTCTTGCACAGCAACAGGTCTCTCCAGCTGAACAATAGGTGAAAAGGTTGCATTTTGTTGGGCCGGAAGGGGACGGTGGAGGCGGGTTTGGATGTGTCTTGATGGGATATGAAGCGAGCATATTGATTCCGCAAACCCCTTCTGAATTCCCGGTGTTGCGCTGCATGTGCATATAACCATCCATTCCCCAACTTTTTCCCCATGAGTTCTTCACAATCCAGTAATCAACACCATTCTGTGAACCATATCCTATGATGAGCACTGCGTGATCCAATGATGTAGAACACGGGCCAGAGAATATCCCCTGCATCAAAAGATAAAATTTTCGTACAAAGAAAACGTTGAACACTCAGAAAATAGAGCAGGTGTATCTCGAATCATCCAACTTACACTAGAATATAACTGAAACGCTCTCTCGCTTCCACATATACCAACACTAATTGGCTGAGCTGCTACAGCCTCCTTTAATGCCTTTTCGTCATTTGGTTTTACACCAGCATAGCTATCAATTGTGACAACCCGTCGTTTCAACTGCAGAACAGACGAGGCTCGTGTACATTAGCAAAAAGGTGAGAAACAGGGAAGATAAATCCAACAAGGAGAAATGAAACCATTACCTTATCCTTCTTGCAGGTGCCATCGCGTTCTTGATAAGGATAATCTTTCTCGGTGTCTATTCCATGGTTTTTTATGACGAATTCAAAAGCATAGTCCATGAGACCACCATTGCAGCCATCATTGTATGACTTGTCACAATCAATCAGTTCTTGCTCAGAGAGGCTGATGAGATCTCCTGTTACAATCTGGTTGATTCCTTCCATAGATCCAGTAGCCGAGAACGACCAACACGCCCCTATAAAATGTTACCAGAACATCATCATCCTTCAAATAATCAACATAGACACATCTAAGAACACTGCTCTAAGTTGCTAAACTCTGACTGAGATAACAGATTTTGTTTTCTGACCAAAGAAGAAACAAAGGATATATATTTATTTCTGGCATAATTAAACTTTGAAAGAAAGAAAAAGTAAACCATTATACTCCTAAAAAGGTAAAAAGCGTGAAAGAGATGCATACTACATAAACTATGTCATGATTAGTCAAAGATCATAAAGTTTTGTGATTTCTCCGATCTAACTATCAATCTTACATTTCCGATTCTAAAGTCTTGATCTTGAATCACTAACTAACTCACTTGACTAAAAATCAAATCTGAAAGAAATTACAAAAGCTAAAAAACATCAAATTACCGCAGCTTCCTTGATCTTTGACATTAGTAACAGCTCCTTTCTTCCTCCAATCAACAGAATCTGGAACATTTTCGCTAAAACCCAGACTCTGTTCTTTAGCCATCACCGGCGGCGACGACGGAGCAGAGAGTCCAAGACGAGAAGCTTTAAACTCATGGTGAGTCAGATCCGCGAAGGCGTTGAGAGAGAGAGAATAAGTCGAGTTAGTGATGCGATTGTGGTGAGTAACGAAGTCGTGATTATCTTTAAAGATTTCGATCCTGTGTTGCTTATCTTCTTCTGAATCGTACGTTTTGCCATGTTTTCGACACCACTCGTCGAACAGCTCGGAGATGTCATCGGAAGATGACGACGACGTAGGAATCAGAGAAGAAACCAGAAGGAG